CTTTATCCCACTGCAGGGCTGAAGCCTATTGGCTGTCCAGTTGACCAGTCGGACAGCCACCTCGGAAGGGCACGCGGTGTATCTGGCCGACCGGCAGGCAGAGAAAATGCAACAGGCCGGAGAGCGGGGAAGGGGAGGCGGTGTGGGGCAGTAAGAACATGGTTCGAAAACGACAAACCCGATAGGTTCATAGGTAATATTCATTTTTTTTAAAAAAACCATTTAGGCATGGGGATTTTTAACCAAAAAGTTTCAAATAGGAAATTTACAAATGCCTCACAGACGATGACAATCTCTTCCCCTTGTGAGATGCTCTCGAAAGGTTTATAAAGCCGTGAGATACACCCATGCAGTGATCGTCGTTTCCGACGCTGTTCACGTGAGCTATACAGCGAGCAGAGAGCAAGCGCAGTGACTTATGCGTGAATTAGTTTATAGTGATAGTAGACCTCCGCAGCATCTACCGCATTCTCCTCCTCCTCCTCCTCCTCCTCCTAATCCTCCTCCTCCTTCTCCTCCTCCTTCTCCTCCTCCTCATCCTCCTCCCCCTTCTCCTTTTCCTCCCCAACTTAGGCCCGGTGTCAAGACATAGTCAAGAAGACCGGAGGCGGGCGAGGGGGCATGTGAATTGCGGGGAGAGCCCGCGCCTTGGCGTTCCACTCCACACCACCTGATCCACACAGCAAATGGCCGGGTTTTTTTAACTACCACAGCAATGGAGAGGGCTGCCGTGACCGAAGCCGCACCCAGGCGTGCCGTCACACCTGGCTCGGATCCCACGGATTGGGAGTGCCCTAGAGGCCACATGAAGAAGGAGCCATTGCAGCCTGGCTCCTAAACCACCAACCGGTCACTTCACACAGCACTGAGTCGACTGCGAGATCCGAGTTATCCCGTCAGTTGGTGACTTTACAGGCCACGGCTTTTAGCTCACCATGATAACTTTAAGCGCATCAGATTGTTTATAGCGAGAAAAATGCGCTGAATCGTCGACCTCCCTCTCCTTTCCCATTCCCAGCCAGCTGTCCTAATCGGTCAGTTGACAGGTGCAGGGAATGGCCGCGGTGGCTGACATGGTCTAGTGACCTTGTCTGCGCGCGCCACATGCACGACCTGGCACCCCAACAACAAGCACCAGGATTTCTAACGACAGTGGCTGAGTGGCGTATATCTCGCATGTGTGAGAGTGCCGTACGTCAAGTTGAGAAGGAGCCGTTTCAGCCTGACTATCAGTCCACCAAACTGCCACTCCATACAAGCACACAGACAACTGGACAGACTGCATGGACTGAGTTGGGGCTTCATTCAGCGGCCTCCCACGCCACAGCGCTTGGCGTGCCATCAGCAACGACCTGCAACGCTGAATGACTCAACTACGTGTGCCACTCAGGACTCAGTTCACAACTCTTCACGCGCCTTGCATCCTTGGAGCGTCTTGGACCTCAAATAAACGACCGCGTCACCAATCCCCGCTAAGCGATCTTTGGAGCCTGACCCTCGATTCCATGTACTGTCTATCAGTGGGCAACTTCACCCATGACGGGGCTGTTGGCTTTGTACACACGTACGCACCGTCTAGGAGCAGGAGGATCAAGTCGTCCTGAAGTTGCCAGTCAGTCTTTCCATAGATTTCTGCCGGCGTTCATACATCGGCTGGCACCTTTTCACTGGACATCTGACGCGCCTCTTCTATCGTCTCCTGCAAAGACAGCATCAGTTTCTCCCGGTGGGGATTTATCAGTGACTCTCACAGATTGGGAATAGACGATTGAAGTCGCATTTGGAGCTCTTGATCTAGCATTCCAATATATGTGATCATTCCGACATAAGTAAGGTAACTTTTGAACTGCTCCCCAGCTCAGTCTTGGTTATCTCAAACGAATAACTGATTTCCTTGGACCTCTTTTATGCTTGCGACGAATCATCTATCATGTATGCCCCGAAGCTGCCGCTTCAATGGGCGTCGAAGTCGGAGAATCGATACCCTGTTTGCGGCAGCGCTGTTTTTTAATGCCCGCCTATGGTATTCCTTTTCCATATTTTTGTTTAGTTACAACCTTTAATAGTTATTCCATTTGTTAAGAAGCTTTTTCTAAACTCGCATTTATCCGTAGTTGTTTAAGTTGGTACTTTTAGAGCAGTCACGCGGGACACTCCATCTTATGTGGCTTACACTCTTATTAACTGACTTTTCACGCATTGCCTTGGTTCTTCACTGTGCGGCGTTGACATCTAAGCCCGTTCTGACGTGGCAGTCCAGCTTGGCTATCCTTGATTTCGTCAAAGCGTGGGACCGCATAACTGCTCGTCTAAATGCGCTAGAAGCTTTGTAAATTTAATGCATGTCACTGAACAGGTTTTCTATTGCTGCCTCCTCACCGCCTAACTGGTTCTAGTGTTATTGAAGCGCAAGTCCAGGGTGGTGACGTTTTGAGCCTCCCGTGCGCGCGTATCTTCGTGCACCGAAGTTGCAAAGGCTGCCCAAGAGACACAGACAGGAAGGCGCAAGGATTGGTGTGGAACTTTTCTCTCACAGAGCCCTGATATGTCCTTAGGAAAGAGCGGGTATTGGTGATCGGGATGAGTTTTTTTACTTTAGGCAAAGGATGCATGTTCAAATCACGCCGGGGTCACCGATTTTTTAGCGCCTCGGTGGTGGTTATATTTCGAAGTGTTGAGAAGTTAGATCTAGTATCTGATATCGGAACAAAACAGAGAACAATGGGAGGCGGGGTTTGTTTTGTACAGAACCCCTTTTGCTCTATTTTTTTCTTTCTCTCTCTCTCCATCTCTATCCCTACCCCCGTCTCTCCCTCTCTCTCTCTCTCTCTGTCTCAGGTATACGCTGGCGCTGTCGGCACATGTCCCGGTCACGCAGCGACATTGCTACCTGGAAAAACAATGCGCTTAGTACCGCTGACGGAGTGAAACACTGCACGCTGCTCAAGAACGGACTGTGTGCGATGTTATGGCCCTGAAAGGTCCACAGTGAAGGCGTCCTCTCTGGCCAATCGTGGCAGTCTACGAAATACGCACTCACGAAAGCCTGCGGTTGACAACCACCGGCTACACAGCACCAGCACCTGAGCCACTCCAAAACATCACTTATCGCCACGCAGCGCAAGCACTCAATTCCCACCTCCCAGGCAATTCGATAGTGTGCTTCTGGGCTCCTTCTCCAAGTGGCTCCTCTGCGGCACGTGTGGTCCGAGTTTGAGACCATCACGGTGCGGCAAACACCTTGGCTTGAATGCTGTTGACTGACGTCCCACCTCAGTCCACGCAGTCTGTCCAGTTGTGTGTGTTTGTGTTGAGTGGCGGACTGATGAACTGAGAGTCAGGTTGTCACGGACCTCAGGCAATCTCACGCATGTTAGGAGTGTGTGTGTCTTACGACTAGTGCCTCTAAGTCAATGATTGACTGGTTACCCGGCCTTCTGAAGGATGATGGCCGAGGCTGGGTGTTTCCCTTCAGCGCCATCAGGTGTGTTGGCGTCTGCTATGTCAAGTCATGGCCTCGAGGCCTGATGTGCACTGGCCGTTATCTGACAACTGGTTAGATGCGTTTGCACTCCCGCTGGCTATGCAGGACGTGTGCATGGCTGCCCAGTCATCCTAGTCTTCCTGATCCGTCTTTGCACTCTTGTTAGTTTAAATTCTGATCAAGTGTTTGTTGTGGACCAGGAGGCGGGATATTTCGCCTATTTGCAGGTCCAGCCTGTATTCTTGACCATGTCTTGGCACCGAGCCTAGGTGGGGAGGCGGAGGGAGTGCGGCAGATACTGCGTAAGTCAACCCTCACTACAGACTAATTTACGCGCGTCACCTTGCCTGTTTTCACCCTGCTGTGGGATCGTCGGGCGCAACGGTCGCGCTGTCAAGACATACAAAATGACCGGCCAACAGAGTGGTCCGTCTGGAGTTTTAAGTGTCTGGCTTCATTTTCACTCGTCGCGCAACGCCCCGTCAGTACAGCCTTTGATGCCACTCATGAAGGTCACGTGGTTATTTTTCATTTCAAATCCCCGTCTACCTGCATTTGCCAAATTGGGGCGGTCGAGGGTATCGAAACACTGTTGACGAGAGGACAAGATGAAATAGGGAATGCATCCTGGGGTGCACAAATACGCTAGTTTGCGAAGTTTCGTCCCTGAGCGCATCTGACGTTTAACAGAAGGACAAGAACACGCCTGTAACTTCACTGATTTCTGATTCCTGGTCGCTGTAGTCCCGCGACGACTGCAGCCACGGACCAAAATACTGCGCTCATCCTGTGGTGTTAACACTCAAAGAGTATCCCAAAGACGTCTTTCCTGGAGAAGGAGGGAGGAGGAGGAGGAGGAGGAGGGGGGGATGAGGAGGAGGGGGGAGGAGAAGGAGCCTTTTTTGTAGTTTGCAACTAGTCTACTGGTCGCTTTCATGCGCGACCGTCACAAAAATACCGTCATAAATCGTTGCATATTATTTACCTTGTATGCCAGCACACGGGGATTGGCGGGGGACGCGCTAATTAGCAGCATGCAGCGACATAAAATCGGGGAAACAGTTGTGTCTGGGCTTTTGGCAAGTGCCCATGCATCCGACGGCAATCCGAAGGATGTTGGCAAACGGGAAACCCACGCGTAAACAATGCTCGCGAGGGCTATATCGTTGGTTCTAATAGCCGAGTAATCACATGCAAACACTAGGTAATGAAATTGCAGCAATTAGCAACCCGGCTGCGTGCTACGAAACCATTATCGCACGGAGTACGACAGTCTATGATGAAACTGTGGACTGGCTGCGGCGTACCTGCACTCAAGATGGCATTACCGACAAAGACAGGGGAGACTGGAACGGCCATTTCTGGCCTATTAGCCGTCGTCAGCCAGTCATAGCCAACCCCGAAGTGTAGAACACCTGGGACTCCATCCTGCGACCTGTTGGTTAGAAGTCGAACGTCTATAAAGACTGAGCTACGGACTCGTTGTCCTGTCACTTCTGATCGGGAATATGCAATGGCATAGGGGGACGCTCACCGATCGTTTTGTTTGTGAACCTCACTCTTCACGTTGTGCCTTAGGGCTCTCTCTCTCGAGAGACCAACCAGCAGCCGTACAGTGGCGCGTGATATAGGCTAATAAACCAGAAATATCCATTCTAGTCTTCATGGTCTTTATCGGTAATTTCGGCAACACCACTCTGCCTATATTATGCGCCGCTGTGCGGCTGCTGGGTGGTTTCGAGAGATATAGGGAGAGCCATAAGGCACAACGGGACGAGTGAGTTCCGTATAAACGATCGGTGAGCGTCCCTCTACCATTGTATCTGCTCTCCTATGTATCCTGATAATGGGTTCGAGAGTGAATCTGAATTTTCAGGAAAATAAAAGACCTATCCAAACGATCAAGTCTCATAAATTTCACCTCGCTGGTGGCTGGCCAATCAGATATCGAACTAGCCACGATGTCCAATGAACAATAAACCCAACGCTTGTAGCCGCACGAATAAACACGTGCCATTAATCATGCTTGCCCTTGTAACCCTATACATCTAGCTGCAAATAAATCAGATGATTGGTCCAAGTATTACTCTGAAACATAAAGCTTCTATGTTTCTTCCTTTAATGACTAAGTACACTTCGCCGATACAAGCAAAGACGCGAGTTCCATGAACTAGTTGATAAGAAGAAGGAGCGATCGCTGGAACAAGTGCTTTATTCGCCTGACGTTTCGGATTCTCAATTGAACCCCTCATCAGAGACAGTGGCAGAAACGGGTGATTCCTGCACAGGAAGTTGCAGTATTTATAGGATCCAGTGGTTATGGTACCGCATGCCTATAGCAATTAACCGCACCCCTTCATCAAGGATTGTTGCCCGCTGGTGCGCAAATTGCTTGGTGGCGGGCATGAAAGTTGCTAATTGCTGAAATCTCATCACCCGTGTTGGATGCTGGTGGGATGATGCCTCGGACATCTGGCTCACGGGCTTGCGCGCTCCCGGAGTGGTCAAATTACTTTGGCCAGCCTATGCCCCCTCGGCACTTAAGCACACTTCATTGAGAGGTATGCAAGCTGAAATTAGAGGATCATCCACTGTGTATGAGGCGTAAAAATGAGCAAATTTCGGAAGATGCTAAGCAGTGGTTGGATTTAGAAATCAGTAGAAGGCGCTTAGGTCTTAATTACAGCAGCAAGCCCATTTAACGTGGATGGGTTTGCGGTGTTATGTGTAGAGTTTTTAGCTTTCGAAGTCAGTCTATGCAGCTTTACTCCAAAGGATTTAGTCGAGGCACACTCATTAATTTCCTAAGAAATGAAAACGAATAGTGATAAACTAAGTTTTTCGTCGTATTACACTGTGCTGACGCCCTTTGACGGGAGAGGAGATATTCACAGTTTGATTCGAGACCGTCGAGTTCGAAAAAATACATTTTTTGCCAGGCAGTCTGTGACGACGACGACAACGACAACGACAGTGATGATGAAAAGAAGAAAGAAGAATAAGAAGAAGAAGAAGAAGAAGAAGAAGAAGAAGATGATGATGATGATGATGATGATGATGATGATGATGATGATGATGATGATGATGATGATGATGATGATGATGATGATGATGATGATGATGATGATGATGATGATGATGATGATGATGATGATGATGATGAAGGAGGATAGCCGAACACGGGGAAGCAACGGGGGGGGGAAGTGATGATAACTCTCAGGTTGCGAACACTGCGACTGGACCCTGTTGCACCTTCAAGTTCGACGCGGCCGAAACCTCCATGAGGGATGGCAACCGCGTGAACCACGAATTATTTAAGTCGTGGTTCTCCGTTCCCCAGTCCATCAGCAAGCACGGTGATCACTGGAACAAGAAGCGTATTCGCCTGAGGTTTCGGATTCTCACGCACACCCATCATCAGAGACGGTTGAAGATAAGCCAATAGAATCCCCGTTTCAGTGATCGCATCTTCGTCTTCTGATTTGCAACTTGGAACTTGCCTGTTCGTTTCCGTCGGCGGAAATTATTGTCTGGAAGTAGTAGTTCTTCACAGGGGGAGCGCGCGATCAAATTCCAGGGCCAGTATTAGAAAGTAAAATGGCCGACTAATTATCTCGCCAACAACCAACAATGGTGGGAAAACTGTGGCACTTAACGGCTCGGGTTCGAGCGACCATCAGCAATGATTGTGGGAGTTGCTAATTTTAATGGACACTTGATAGCTTAGAAGCTAAATCCTTGCAAATACTGCAACACCCTGTGCGCCCGTTAACCGTATTTGCTTCTGATTTCGAGTGTGCCCAACCTGAATGTCCAGAGGCTCAGGCTTTGAAAGTGCCGTACACTGATTGGTCCTGATTGCGAAACGGAACGCGCTTGCCCTGACAGTCAAGAGTACAGAAGTTGACAATGTCCTACATGTCGAAAATAGGCATTCCGGTCGATTTTACTTTTTTGTCGGAAAATTTTCTTCACTACTAGTTCTTAATCACCATACGACTCCCGGCGATGGCCGAAAGGAGCTCCAGACTGGAAGTCCTTAGGGGCCGACAACAACGTTGCCTTAACGATGGTAGACATCAGGAAGTCTCCACCAGCCGGTAATTAATGCTTGTCCGTCAATTCAACTTGTTTAGAGTGCCTACAGTAGGTGGGCTAACTCATGAAATGTCAACCGAAATTCCGAAATGCGTTTTCGTTTCGAAAAGATTAATTAAGTAGGGTTGTAAAACTAGTCAGCCTGCAACCTAATTCTATAATATTTCAGTTAGCTAAGGATGCCGGCTTTCGAACGAACTTCCTTCCGGCTGCTTAAAAAACCATACTCTGTAAAAAATGACTACTTAAGTAGCATGAATTTCTCTGATTGATCTTCGGTGCTCCTAAAAGTCCAATTATGTTTCATGGAAAACATGCATAAAAAATATTCAGTCTTTCGCTCATTCGGTAGAAAATTACGTCTTCTTCCAATTTTATACCCAAAGAAAGAGTATAATTCAGTTCCAACAAATTTTTTATTGCGAGACTTTTTAATGCCGTGAAATGGCCGTTCATAAAACGTCATGTCTCTGCATTTACCAATATGGCTTGTAGAGTTAACAATATTGATCAAATCTAATTCTTAATTTTATGATCCCTATATGATCCCCCCTTAATACCGTAGAGAAGTGTGCGGTTTTCCGTACACGGAAAATATACGGCTTGTAGTTTGGAAACCCTGAATGCAAAAATAACGGCAGAGTGGGTTCAAAATTATTCGGGGATTGGAAAAGTTTATAATAACCGAATTATACCCTTACCTTGAGTAAAAGCTTGGAAGGAGACGTAATTATCTACCGAATGAGCAAAAGAGTGGATATTTTTATGCATATTTTCCATGAAATATGATCGGACTTTTGGGGGCAATGGAAATCAATGAAAATAATTTATGCTACTTGAGTAGTCATTTTTTACAGAGTATAGTTTCCGTATGCAAACGGAAGGAAATTCATTCGAAAGCCGGCATCCTGGGGTAACTGAATTATTATAAATTTATGCTGCAGGCTGAATAATTTTACAACCCTACTTAATTAATCTTTTCGAAACGGAAACGCATCTCAGAATTTCTGTTGTGATTTCATGAGGTAGCCCACTTAGTGTAAGATATTTAAATTCATATTAAGAAGGCATCTTTTTCACAACAAATGAATTCCATTAAATGCTTGCCACTCAAGTAGTCATTTTTTACAGAAAGGAAGGAAGGAAGTTCGTTCGAAAGCCGGCATCCTGAGGTAACAGAATTATTATAGAATTATGCTGCAGGCTGATTAGTTTTACAACCCTACTAAATTAATCGTTTCGAAACAAAAAAAGTATTTCGGAATTTCGGTTGACATTTCGTGAGTTAGCCCACATACAGTACATGCCTTTTTTTCAAAACCTCGTCCAGTCTCCCTGCGACTCATCCTGACTCGTCGAGATGCGATAGTTGACAACGTGAAGTTCCTCAGATCAAATGTCGAAGTGTGTGTGTGTGCGTGCGTGTGTGAGTGCCCCTAAAACGGGTCACGTGGTAGATGCGCTGGACCAACGCGGGGGCCATATTGGATTCCGGCAGGTGTTATCGGATTTGCGCACCTTAGCAAATGCCATCATCTCGGAGAGCGGTTGCAGACCCAGCCGCCAGCGGACGTCGCACACACTGGGACCCCTGCGACCCTCGCCACTGTTGTTGTTGGTTAAAATCCTGGTCATTTGCTGTGTGGACCAGAGGGTGTGGAGTGGAGCGCATAGGTGGGGGCTCGATTGCGCCATCCGCCTGCGCCCTCCCACGCTTCCGGTC